TATCCTGAAGGCCACAGAAAGCTCTAGAAGTTTGTCAGTGTGGAGGGTCGTAGCCAGAGTTGCATTTTTCATTAAGTGGTAAATGAATATCTAGGGCAGGCATCAACTGGGGCAGGTGGATCAGTTTGGAGGTCATGGCAATGGTCCAGGGAGAGAGGGTGAGCATTAGAGTAGTGTTGATAGGGCAGATACACAGGAAGTCCGTAGATTCAGAGAAGGAAGCCAGGCCCCACAGGGAAGCTTGGATGAGAGGAGAGCACTCATTCCAGGCTGTACCTTATTGGGCCAGGGAGGGCCCAGGGCAAGAGGCAGGATCCAGACCAGAGTAGAGGCTGGGACTGAAGAGCCAGTGGGAAGAACAGTGCATGTGGGAGGGGCAAGTTTGGGTGCAGGGTCCCCAGACTAAGGAGAAGGGTGGCACACGCGAGAGGGTGAGGGGGCGCAGACAGTATGCTCTCTCTTCTGGAGGGTAAGAGTCAGCGACCAGAGAGCAGCTCTTGGCTGAACCCTCAGGATATGTCTAAGGAAGTGCCCAGGCCAAGGGCAAGGGCAGGGCTGGGCCTGACCTTGAAGGACAGGCATGGTGGAGACTGTCCCAGGGCAGCCAGGGAAGGACAGAGAGGAGGGGGCTCCCCAGACTGCTGGGCTGAAGTTGAGGGGCCAGGGATAGGGTGAGGAGGGCAGAGGACAAGCATGGTCAGGGGCTTCTGTCAACCCCCTCTGGCAGCCCCCTGATAGAGCAACCCTGCTCTGGCCCACCACAGCCACCATGCAATTTATTGTCCAACCTAGACGATTTGTGAGTGCAAGTAAAAATTACTCCAGAACAGGTGTAAACTAGGCCTGTCCTGAGCACACCAGGATATAGTGGCCACCCTGGCCATGGGGCCAGAGGCTAGCTCTTGGGCTCCAACGTGGCCCTCAGGGACACTGTCTGTGACCACTGCCTCCCCCAGCCTGGCCGTGGGGTGTTATTAGACCACACCCTGGAGCACCCAACCCTTCTAAAGCCAGGCCTGGCGGGGAAGGCAGGGTCTCCCCCATTCTAGGTCCCCGTGCTTTCTGCCCTCTGACAGCTGACATAAGTGCCACCACTGTCTTCAGGGGAACAATTCCTAGAGGAATGTGCATCTTCCTGGGGCCAGGTGGGGGGTGGCCTGGAGAGCCCTAGTAACCTGCTAGCCCTAGAAGGGTGCACAGAGGCCAGAGTGGTATTACCCCGTGTCCAGCTGCACTGCCTGTGTCTCCCTCAGCAAAGCCCTGGGATCCCCCAACTCCTCCCTTCTGCTTGCCCCCCATTTCCAGCCGGTTCTCAGGGTGTCCCCACATTTCCAGTTCCTGGTTTTTAGCTCAGCCCTCACCAACACCTGCCTAGAACATTGCAAAGGCTGCTTCCCAGGTCTTGTGGCCTCCAATCCACCAGCACTAGCCTCCTTATACCCAGGCCTGAACACAACACTAGTCTGCTTGACAGGCAGACAAAACAAAACAGCAAAAACAAAGACCCTCCATGGGAGGAAAACACATGAAAAAACAAAAATATCACCACAGAACTCAACTTCCCTACAAGATAAAGACTAGCACTTCCTCCTGAACTGACTCCAATGTAGCTCTCAGCCTCGTCCCCAGTACCCTCAGGCTTCCCCCGCACAGGTACTTGGCACTGTCTGTGCACCTCCTCTGCTGGCCCCATGCCCACACACCTGGAATCCCCCGCTACCTGGTAGAGTCCTGTGTCCTCAGGGCCCTCCAGCCCTGATGCCTCTGCCCTATCCCTTGAGCTACTGGAGTTACCCTTGTTCCAGACCAGCTGTGAGGGGCATTCCGGGTCTGTCTCCACAGTCGGAGGTCCAGAGGCCCCAAGGCCTACTGTAAACTCAATAAATGGCGATTGAACTGGCCGATCCTTCCTACTCACTCCTGGTTCTTCAGAAGGATGCCTCTGAGGGATGGAAGGGTGATTTCTGAGGTCCCTGCCAATTCTGCATTTAATGCTGCAGCCTAGGGTTGGGCACATACGTATCACCCCGTTTAAATCCCTCTAAGGAAAGAAAAAATCTTAATGCTCCCCTACCAGGAGTCTCCAAAAATGGCTCAGAATCCTCTCAGGGGATCTGCAAGATCAAAACTATTTTCATAGCAATGTGAAGAAATTATTTGCCATTTTACTCACATTTCCTTATGACTATATGGTGAAATTTTTCAGAGTTATATGATATGTGTATTTGCAACAGATTGGATACAGAAGCAGATGATACCCAGCTGCTGCTTAATGGACTTAATAGTCCAACATTAAACTATAAAATAATGCCACTCTTTTCACCAACTTTGCTTGTTTGGGAAAATAGAATCATTTTTCTTTAAAAATATGTTAACATGCAATGAATTTATCTTTATGTTTTTATTTTAATTAATAAATACATTTTAAACTTCTCAATTTTAATTTCTGATACACTAAATGTCAACTGCTATATCCCACATAGACAAAAGCTCTCAGGGTCCTCAATTTTTAATTGGTAAAAGGGGCCTGATACCCCTACTTAGCAGCTAGATTTCCTGAGAGCTGTCTACCTTCTCTCCCACGCTCCTCAGCCCTGCCATGTGGCTTCCTGCCACTGTTCCTGAAATTGCTCTGAGGCCACAGAGGACCCCCTGGCATTTTTTCCAATGGATACTCTTCTGTCCTTCTTTGACAACCAAGCAGCATGACCCTGGCTCTCCGACCTCTCCAGCTGCTTGTCCTTAACTCTTCTTGCTTCACTCAGGCCCCAAGGGCTGGGGTCCTCAATGTTGGGCCTGGGCCCTATTCTCTTTTCTGTCTACTTCCAGGGCATCAAGCACTGTCTCAGTGTGTATGGCTCCCAAATCTCACTCAAGCCTGTATTTATCCCCTAAGTTCTAGACCCACATCTCCAGCTGCCTCCTGAGTGGGGATGCATCCCCAATTCAAACACTCAAATGCAGAACAGACATCCACCCCCACCCTTTCCAGGAACCCTGGCCCTCTTCCCTCTGCCTCACTCTCCTCAGCAACCAGCCACACCAAATCCTGCCTGCCTCACCCCCTAAGCCGCTCTCCAATCCGTCCTCCGGCCCATTCCCACTGCCACACCTCAGCCACGCCACCTTCACCTCTCTGGCCTTCCTCTTCCATTCTGACACAGCAGCCAGTGTCTCTTGTAAGCAGTCTCTTCCCTTCTCCGAATCCACAGGAGCCCCGACCCGGGAGGAAAGCCACCTCCACAACACAGCACAGTTTACCAGGCTGGCTAGGGGGATGCGGCCCTGCCACCCCTCCAGCCTCATGTCCGCTGCCCATGCCACTCTATCCCAGCTGGTCTGACTATGCTTCCCCTCTGATGCAACCTGTTCCCAACTTCTGTTCACCAGATAGCTTTTCAGGCTCAGGGCATGGCCTCATCATTCCCTCCCCTAGAAAGCCTCCCTCCAGGTCAGGAGCCCTTTCTAAGTTGAGTGTCCCATTTTCCTCCAGTAATAACACATTCCATGCCAATTGGTCATTCAGAGTTCCTAGGCTCTGAGTCCCTTAAGGAGGAAGATCTCTTCATGGCTGTATCCCCAGTGCCTAGTTCAGTGCCTGACATACAGCAACTTAGTAAATACTCGTTGAATGAATGGTTTGAAGAATGAGAATCCATATGCAACTAGCTGGCAAGCAGCTCTCCCCTCTCCCATCCAGTATAGAGCAGAGCTCTGCACTGAGCACCAAGACTGGCTGGCTGGCCCTGCCCTGGCACAGGAGGCCCCGGAGACAGCCACCCAGGGCTCCTGTCTACTGCCTTTAGTGTTGTCCTGACTCAGTGTGGCTGGACTCCACACTTCTCCCGTCAATGGCCAAGACACAAGGCCTCCAACACATGGGCATCCTCCCTAGGCACAACAGCTGTCCAGCTTGGTAGAAACTGACCCTGCTGGGAACAGCCAGACCAATCCAGGGGACCAGCCACAACAAGAGCCACAGCAACACATACCAGCGTCCCAGTGTAAACTGATGCTCAGAGAATTTAATACTTTTCTGGAGGTCACTGGGCCAGTGAGGGAAGGAGCTGGGTTAGAGCCAGATTCTTGTGCTAAAGCCTGTCATCTGGGCTCCACACACATTCTGCAAGTCCAGTAGAGTCCGAACCCACTGAAGGACAATTCCAGTAGAGGAACCCAGGACCAGGCTGAGATCATGGGGCTGGCCTTCCTCTTCCATTCTGACACAGCAGCCAGGGAGAGAGGGTGAGCATTAGGGTAGTGTTGGTAGGGCAGGTACACAGGAAGCCCGTAGATTCAGGGAAGGAGGCTAGGCCCCACAGGGAAGCTTGGATGAGAGGAGAGCACTCATTCCAGGCTCTACCTGGCCAGTAGCAGCAAGGCTCAGGTGGGAGCCCAGAGGGCACCAGGGCAACTCATTCCATCCGTGGTGAGTCCTGGCAGGCCAGGATAACAGAGAAGGCACAGTTCACATCACAGCCCCAGGAGGCAACACAGCACCTGGATCTCAGAAGTCAAAGGGCCACCAGGTCCTCCAGGCCGCAGGCCTCTGCACTCAGGATTGTCCTAAAACTTGTCATCACCCTACCTTAACCACAGGATCTTTAAGCAGGAGGTCAGGGGTTCAATCTGGCTGTCAGGAAGAGGTAGCAGCTAGAAGACCTGGTCTGATCTCCGAGCCTGTCAGCCTCCTCAGGGCAGCTGGGAGGAGACACAGGGCACCCGGTTGATGGCAAGGACACTGCTCACAGGACTGCTAAGTGGATCCACATGGAGCATAGATCTGCACTCAGGAGGCATTCTTTGCATGCACAAAGCTGTGAATGGTGCCCATGGAAGTGGTGGAGCCTGGTAGCCCTGCCTGCTTAGCTGCCCCCTCCCTGGGAGAGAGGGATGAAGATGAAAAGGGAGCCCCTTCCCTTTTCATGAGCCTTGCAGGGCTTTAGCACTTCACTTGCCCCAAATCCCCATCTGATGAAAGAACCACATTCCAGCACAGATAATAAGAGATCAGTTTATGGATAATAGTATGGGACAGACTGGGAAGGTGCCAGGGCCTACAGTGATGCACTTCCCAGGAATAAACCGACAGACAAAAGGTGACAGAAGGTAACAGAGGGACAGGGAAATAAAGCCAAATGGGTAAGAGACCCAGGCCCAACCTAAGCAGCTGTGCCCTGGAGACCTGAGGGATAAGCATATATGACAAGGGCCACAGTTCTTGTAGGACCCCCTCTGTGCTCCTTCCTGCCCCTCACCAGCAGGCGGACCTTTCACAAGCATTATTTTCAGGGCTAGAGAATGGTTGGTCTGAGGGCAGTGGCAGAAGGTCAAGTCTTTGGAGGCTCCCTGGTGGGTGGAGGCCTGGATGGTGCGGGGTTAGCAGCAGCACTGGGGGATTTGGTCAGGCAATAGGTGCCTGGGGTGGGACACTGCTCAGCAGGGCCCCTATGTCCCGGGCAGGCCCCCCACCCTGCCCACCACACCAACATGGTGCAATAAATAGTTTCAAGTAGTAAGTTAGTGTCAGGCAGGAGAGCTGGAGGCTGGCAGACAGGCAGGGGCTTAGGAGAGAGAAACCCCCAGTCACTGATCAAGTCCTCTGTGGGCTCTAGCTGTATCAAGTCAGAGTGGGGTCCTGCCCCCCATGTCCATGTCAGTACTTCTTGCAGGGGCCCAGCCCCTCAGACCAGTGCCAAAGCCTGCTCCATGGGGCAGAAGCAGGGCAGCATGGTGCCCACAGCATCCACGATGGCTGCCAGGTGATCATCCTGTGCCTGAGGCCCACAGAGTTGCATGAAGTCTGCCAAACGCAGCAAGTACTCAAGGTTGTGGCCAGAAAAGCCACGGCAGGCCAGGATCTGCGTTGCAATGGCTTCCTCCGGTGCCGGGCCCAGGTAACCAGGATTCTGTGGGGTGGCCACATAGGCCAATGCCTTGAGTGGTTGATCAGGGGCCTCTTGGGGGTAGAAAGTGACCTCCTTTGTATCATAGCCACCAAGCACTGCCTCCCGCACGTTCAGGTACTTCAGGGCCTCGCTCACCTGCTCATCTCGAACCTGGTATGCTACACCCCAAGTGCAGCCCTAGGAGGAAACACGAGCAGGGGTCAGTTGTAACAGCTCTCTGCTGGTCCCACCCTAGGACCATGCTCTATAAGCCATCTAGTAGCAGTATACCAAGCCCTCATTCTCCTTGTCTTACCAAGAGTTGACATGGTCTAGCCCCAGAGCTAACAGGATTCCTACTCAGAGTGTGGTCTGAGAACCAGCGGCATCCCCTGAAGCTTATTAGGGAAGTGTGTCTCAGGCCCCACTGTAACCCTTTTGAATTAAAACCTGCATTTTAACAAGATCCGCAAGTGATTCTTGGGAGAGCACTGAGCTAGAGCTAGAAGGTATCTATAATCTAGTCAAGGACAGCCAAGGGCCCATGAGCTCCATCTACACCCCTCCACTATGGGCCCCAAGGTCTCTCTCCTGACTCAGGCACTTACCTCGTGATCTTCAAGGAGGGTCACCACACGGCCTGGCTAGGGAGGGAAGAAAGATTTTTATAAAAACAAATTAGAAGTCCGCTCTGCCATCAGTACCAGAGGAAACCCTTACCAGCCTTGCTGGCCCAGGCCTCAGAGAGCACCACTGATACAGGGGGAAGTGGAGGGAGTGATGCATGGATGCAGGAGAAATAGATCAGGGCAGTGGCCCAGACTGTTAATCAGAAATACTCATCAACACAGTGATTCAAAGGATCACAGATTCAAGCCATTACACAGCACTCACTGGGCACACAAATTTGAGCCGCAAAACGCGGACATACGTTACACGTTTCCCCCATCAGCACGGAGTCACCGTCTGCCCAGAGAGCCCCGGACATTCCAGAGCATCAGCGTCCACTATCCTGTCTCCCACCCCCTCAATGCCTGGGACATGGTCGGATGCTTACCATCTTGTCGCTGCCCCGGTGGAAGGTGTCTCCCTGCCAGAAGCGGCGGCTGTAGCCGCGCACGAAGCCCACTCGGCTGTCACTGTAGGCGAAGTCGGGCCTCCACACCAGAGAGCCGTATCCGAAAATCCACAGTGCGTGGGGGTCGCCATCGTCCCGGGGGTGCTGCGCGGGTGGCGAGGGGGGCAGCGAAGGGGCCGGCGAGGCGGGTGGAGTGTTCTGGGCTGCGGACTCCTGTTTCATGGTGCCGGGCACAGGGACGGGCCCGGACGGCCTCCGGGGCTGGTCTCCGGCGCGGGCACGGACACCTGGCCTGGCACCTTTAAGTTGCTCCAGCTGCGCTGCCCTTTCGGGGGCGCCCTTTAAACCCTCCGGCCGGGATGCTCCGCCCTCCCCGGCCAGCTGCCGCGGTGATTGGGGCGGGGAAAAGTTCCCTTTTGGCCAATCACCTTCGTATTTTACCGCTCGGTTAACCGCGCCGCCCTCTGAGTGAGTAACTGAAAGGCCTGCCCGGGACCCAGTGCACCCGCTGATTGGTTCGGCTCCACCTCTATAGCAAACCTGGCAGGAGTGATGCAACCACCCGGAGGTTTCCCTACCTCCCGCATGCAGCAAGGGCTCCTCGGATTGCGTCAGGCGGCGGGCAGTGGGCACGGTCATGGGCACTGGTCATCTTAACAGCAGCTTCTTCATGGCCTGGGCCCTTCAGGAACCACGGAAGGTGGGGCCCAGGCTGGTGTCTCCCTAGCAGTCCTGCTGGTGCATCTGGCGGAATCGCTACCTCCCCAGGCAGCACGTACTCATGACCCTGACCAGTGCAGGGCATGTCCAGAACAAGCGCTCTGGGCGGCATAAATGTCAGTCTCTGGGGCTCCGCCTGGGACCACGCGCTCTGGAGAAGCCATCTGAGGCACCCCCAGCATTCCGCACAGATGCCTCACGCTGTTCGCCCGCGTGAGCAAATGGAGAAACTGAGTCACGGGGCTGGCAAGGGGTTCTACAGAGGCTGCGAGGTTGAGTCAAGCAGAGCACCCGGAGCTTGAGGGCCTCACGTGATGGCTCCGCCTCCAGGCCAGGTGTGGGATCCCCTGAGCCGGGTGCGCTCTGGAAAGGGCCAGTGAGAGCTCTTGGAACAGCCGAGTCGCTTTTGCAGTGGTGGCAGGACCTGCGGAGAGAGGCCATAAAGACAGGCCAGCCCTGCCCTGAGGCGATGGGTTTAGTTCTGCGCGGACAGGAGCTTTGCAAAAGTGGTTGGTTGGGTTAATCCTTAGGCACCGAGGTTCTGAGAGTTTCCGGGAGCAGTCGCGGGCAAGAAGAGCCCAACTGAGGCCACCACAAGGCTGTGAGCAGCTACCGGCTTCTCCCTTGGTTACTGGCCTCCGGGCCTTCTGGTCCAGACAGGATTTTCAGGCCGTCTGGGGTTGACCCCCTAAATAGCGGCAAGGGACTCCTCCGGATATGTTTCCAGCTGTAAAAGGGAAACGGAGGCAACAGAAGGCCGGCCTCCGGAACTGCGGAACTGGCTCAGGGGGACTGCTGATTAGATCCGGGGAGCCCTCTGGCAGAGAAAAATGAGCAATATTACTAATTATTAAATTCTAATAAGGCAGCTAAACTAAAAATTATCTGTACATGTAAAGTCTTTGCAAAGGTGTCTAAGACACACTCTCCAGTAGGAATGTTGCAATATATGGTGCGAATAGTTTGAAGTTAGTTCTTTAAAAACAAAACAAGTTATACATTAATATTTGTCAGAGAAATGATCGGAAAGAATATACCTAAACTGTTAGCAGAGCCTGTCACTACAGGAGGGCTTTCAGTATTAAATGCAAACATTTATGTACAAGTTTGGAGTTTTTACAAAGAGCATGAATTACTTTCACAACTGAAAAGAAGTACAGGCAAAATGGTTGTTTCTGGCCCTTTCTCTTTCCCTCCATTTCCCATGTTTACTCCCCCCTCTACTCCTTTGCTCTCTGTCCTGTCTGCTTTCATTCGAGTAAGTCCTTTGCTGCTAGCTTCTTAGGGAGAATATGCCGTCCTTCCATCTGCTTCCTTCGGGGAGTCGGGTGGGAGGCAAGAAATTGGTACGAAGACATTGCTGGAAATATCTGAATTGGCACAAACAACCCCTTGAAAAGACAGCTTGGTGACACAAACCAAGAATCGTAAAATATCCCTGCCCTTTGACCCAATACTCCAGGACATTATTTAAAATAAAGAGCCATACGCCTGTAGATTTCTCAATGCATCGTTATTTATTAGAGAAAAAACAAAAGAAGAAAAAGTACTTACATATCAAAAAATAGCTAAATATTTAAGTAAATTATGGTCAGTCCACATAGTGGAGAAAAACCCATTCGTGTGGACACAAAGAAAACAACCTGAATATCTAGCAATAGATGAATTACTATAGACATAAAATTAAATCTACGCAGTCATTAGAAACAATTATGTATGCCTGTAGTTATTGACATAGAAACCTATCTATGATGTATAACTACGTGAAAAAGCAGGTTATAAAAAATTGTAATATAACTTTTTAAACTGAAAAAGTCTGTATGTGTTCACTTGCATAAACAAAAAAATCTGGAAGAACAAAAAAATACTCAGTGATTATACCTCTGTGTAGTAGAAATACATGAGGTTTGCACTTGCTTTTTTGTGCCAATTCAGATGTCTAAGATTTTTTTAAGAGAACATAAACCACTTTTATTTAGGAAAAAAAAAGTTGAAAAATAAAAATCCATTACGAAAACAATGTACAAAAATGCCTGTGATTCCATGGACAAAAATGGAAAATATGAACTGTTACATGCACTATGATTAAAGCTATTAAAAGAACAAAAACAAGATGCATATTAATAATGGATGTTCTGGGGTATTGTGATTATAGGTTATTTTTTTCTCTATTTTCCAAGGGTTATGAAATGTAATTTTTAATAATGAAAAGTTAACTTTTAAAAGAGTAATTAATGGTTTTTTTGGTGGCTGAGGGGTAAGCAGCCTATCAGAATCACTTGGGAGACATTTTCAAAATGCCCATTCCCAGACCCTCTCCCACCCTGACCAAAGCTCCAGGTTTAATAACGTCTTTGGTGAGGTCACTGGTAACCAGCCTTGGTCCACACAGAGTTAGGCACTCCCTGTGCTGCTTCAAACACACTGTTATCGCCCTTTGTGTCTGTCTTCTCCACCACACTGACAACAAAAAACAGTCCTTTCTTGGGTGCTTACACTGAGCTGGGCAGTTTGCTAAGTGCTTTTCATCCATTTGAATTATAAACGTCACTACTTTGTGAGGTAAATATCATCTCATAGGTGAGCAAACCAGAGCCCAGGAAAGTTTAAGCAACCTCGTCACAGTGACACAGTGGCAAGCTGTGCAGCCTAGTCTGAAGGCAAGTAGTCCAACCCCAGAGCCTCCATGCAGATTAGCATTTGACACCCTACCTCCCACAAACCTGAGAGGTCCCAGAAAGCAGACTTGTCTTTGAAGGACTAGAGGAACCAACACAGTGCTGGCTCGTGGAAGGTTCTGCACAAAAGTAAGTAGCAATGAAGCTCTTCCTTGGAAAAGGCCAGGGCACCCTGGGTTCAGAGAAGGAAGAATCCTGCAAGACACAAGTTCAATCTTGACCCTCTCAAAATAGGAATCCCCACAACAGTTGGCCCAGGGGCCTTGGCCATCTTCCTGGGGAACATTGCTTCCTGTTCCCATTCCTTGCATATCCTTGCCAACAGTATCTGTCTCCTGCCCTCACCGGGACACTCCCAGGCAGTAAATCACCTCACTCAGCTGGTTCCTCTCTTAACATCTCCAACAATCAGCCTATCTTTCCTCCAAAAATCCCCTCAGGAAGGGGCCACAGATGTGCCTGCAGAGGTACCCGGCTCCTGAAAGAGCAGCCCCTCCACCTTACAGAGTCGCACATGGCTTGCACATGATGTGCACATGGCTGCTTCCTTTTGGGACCTTTCCCAAACTAATCTTTCCTTATTGTTCCCCTCAGGCCATCACTTCTCATTTCCTTATGATCTGTTCCTTCTCATTTCTCATTCCAGTCACTGCAATGACGTCCTGGTGTTAGTGGGCACAATTATTTGAAACAAGGAGGGTGTGTTTTAGGAGGTAGGGAATCATGATAATTTATTATGCTAAATGGGAAGTTCCTTTATAAAGCTGCTGATTCCAGAGGGATGAAAAACCTTTCCAGACTTGACTCTAAGCCCAGTTTACCCAGATTTGAGTCTATCTCCACCGTTTACCTTCTAGGTAGGTGACCCAGGCACACTGTCTCTGGTCCTCAGTTTTCTCAACTGTGAAGTAGAGAATAATAGTACCTAATTTATAGGTTCTGGTGAGAATTGAAAGAAGTAACACCGTAGCCAGCACCTAGCACACGGAGCACTCAATGTACAGCTCCATACAATTTTTAGTCCAGACTTTTCACTTTCCATTTCATACGGGATAGAGCCATAGTCTACGGTGATATTGTGATCTGTAATTAGAAATATCATATTTGGTCTTCATCCTATTCCTGGTACAGAATTCCTAAAACCGTTGGAATTTCCTAAGTGGTAAGACTGATAAAAGTGTCTTTTGTTACTCGTAAGCCCCTGTCAACCACACCTGAGTTTATGTTAATGAGAGGACTACTTGGAAAGTCCCTAAGGGTGGGGGCTGGTTGCCAGGGGAACCAACCATGTGACCAGAGGGTTGGAACTTTCTGGGAGTGGAGAGGGGAGATTGAGTTAAATCACTAAGGGCCAATGATTTAATCAGTCATGCCCCCATAATGAAGGGTTTCTGAGACCTTCCAGGTGAACACATGGCGTGCTGGGAGGGTGGGGGCATGGAAGCTCCGTGCCCTTCCCACATGACTTACCCTACGCATCTTTCCCATTTGGCTGATCCTGATTACATCCTTTTATAATAAACCAGTAATCTAGTAGTAAACTTGTTTTTACCTGAGTTGTGTGATCCACTCTAGCAAATTAATTAAACCCAAGGAGGGGATTATGGGACCCTTAAATCTATAGCTTGTCAGTTAGAAGCACAGATAACAGGCCCACTGAGAGCCGAGGAAGTGAAGCCCTCTAAATGGAAGCCACTGGGACACCATTCCCCAAGGCTACTGCAAATGGGGAGGAGAGTCCAGTGCCCTTTAGATCTCTTTTACCAGAGAGAGAGAAGAAGCACCAAGTGAAGCAAGTCACTGGGTGGAGGTGAAACTGAACTGACCTAGACTCATGGCCCAGACGTCTGGACTTGGAATTGGCATCTGAAGTTGGAGGCAGTCTTGTGGGACTGAGCCCTTAATCGATGGGATGTCACACTATCTCCAAGCAGATAGTGTCAGGATTGAGTTAAATTATAGGACGCCCAACTGGGGTTACAGAAGTGCATGATGTGTGGAAGACCCACATGTCTGGTATCAGAAGTAAAATCATGCTGTCATAGGGTCTTGAGAGCAGCTGTGATGCACAGGAAGAGTGTTTTCCTTTACTCTACCTCTCAACCTGACACAATGCAGAATTGAGTGGGTCAGGAAAGCGATGTGGCACTATTTTGATTCAGTGGAAGAAATCTCCACTATTTCACCCTCCATTCTTGTCATGCAATTCACAGGTTGTTTCAACAAATAGGTGCTAAGGGAGTGTGCCGTTAGAGGGCAGAGTGGGTGGTAGTCAGCCCCAACCCACTACTAATGGGATAGTTGCTTGTGTATGCTCGTAGGGAGGGTGAAGGGGTGCTAAAATTAATTAATTAATCCACAATCCGGGGGGCTATACCTCCCTCTGAAAGATAAGTGTGTCTTCAGGTCCTTGTCCCATGTGCAAGAAGGATACAGGTTCCAACCCTGGCAAAAGAATGGGATGAAGGGGTAGCTGACTCCCTCAGTACAATCCACATCAGCAGGGGGAGAGAAAAGGAGAGGGCAGTTGCCCTGCTGGTTATGCCAGCTGAATCCAGGGCCAAGGTGGGAACGTTGCTTGGTATGTGTGCAGAAATCAGGGACTATAAGGACCCACTCATGTCCTAGAAGGGTGCAAGGGATGGTGGGAACACCTGGCTCCCTGCCCATTTCTAGCTTGCAGGGAGGAGGAAGACACGGCTGACTGGACACCCTGGGGTGGCCAGTGTTCCAGTTATTCTAATCACAGGCCTAGCCCACCTGCAAGGGGCAGGACCAAACCTCCAACAGATGGTTGGGATGGTGGGGCCTCCCAATTCCAAGGAGAGAGGAAGGTGTAGTTCAGTAAGTGGCTGGATGCAGGACTGACAACTGCCATTGGGGGGAGCATTTCAGTGGAGTGACAGGGCTGCATACAGAGAGGAGACCCATGGGGTCAGAGTTGAGTATCAGATCCCACGGAGGTGCTGCACTGCGGTAGGACCTGGCTTTAGAAGAGAACAGCCCATGCTGAGAAGTCTGACTTCTCCAAAGAGGCCTGACTGTGGGTGCAATGAGGCCCACTGAGAGCCGAGGAAGTGAAGCCCTTTAAATGGAAGCCACTGAGACACCATTCCCCAAGGCCACTACAAATGGGAAGGAGAGTCCAGCGCCCTTTAGATCTCTTTTACCAGAGAGAGAGAAGAGGAAGCACCGAGTGAAGCAAGTCACTGGGTGGAGGTGAAACTGAACTGACCTGGACTCGTGGCCCAGACGTCTGCCTCTGTGGGTAAGGAATGGCAGTCCTTGGACAAGCCAAGGGGCACACCTCCAACTGCCAACCCCAGGGCTTGCTTTGCCTCTAGCCTGAATGGGGAAGGGATCACTGGAGGCAGAAAGGCTGTAACCTCAAATGGCTTTTTGGACCCTGCATTGTAGTCTTGGAGGATCTCTGGTGATGAAGAGAACTAGCTGAGCCCTCTCTTGGCCAGAGTGTTAAAGGGTGCAGGGCCCCAGAGGCCAGGGAAAAGGTGACAAAAGCCACTTGGAAAGATCTCCAAGGGGAAGGGGGACTCTTGAGGACCTGGGATCTGGTTGTCCCCTCCACAGCCAGGGTCTTCCTACCGCTACTCCCTACATCAAAGGAGACTGACCTGCATTAGGGGTGTTCTTGAAGAAGGCACAGAGGGAAGCAATGGTAGAGGCAAAGCTGGGCTCTCAGCTCACTCCTTGGTCCTAGGGCTACTGCTGGGACTATCGAGCCAGGCTCCAAGCTCCTCTTTAGTCCACCCCCATCCTAAGTGCTGGGAGAGTGGAAACTACACAGAGTGGTTTGCTGGCATGAGCTTGAGAAGGAGTAACCACCAGTGGGGGAAGTTGTTACACACAAATATTTTCATACACCAACTCATTTCAACCTCATAGTAACGTGCAAGTATTGTCATCCTCTGAGAAGGTAAACATAAATTAACTAGATGGTTAGCCTCCTTGGCACAGACCATGTTTTATGGCCGATGCTTGGCATATAAACGATGTTCAGTGTGGAAAGAATGAAGAAGTGGATGGACTTGTCCCAGGTTACTAGCCAATGAGAGGTGGTGCTGGAAGGGAGCTTCAGCCTCCCAGTTCAAACCCGTTCCCTGCCTTTCTGCTTCCCTCCGGGGACCGGGTGGTGCGGCAGAGAGCCGAGGACTGCCGGGTGGAGAAGGAGCTGGCTGCCTGCGACAGCTCAGAGTACGGGAAACGGAGGGCCCTGCTTCTCTGGACACCCTGAGGTACCTTTGGGGCAAAGCATCACGCTGATCTCTCTCCAGTTTAGTCCTTCGGCTTAGGGTCTCAGGGCCTGGAAGCAGCACTGCGCGACGAGGACGAAAACTAAACTCGCACCCTCCAAGACGCGGCAGGGCTGAGCGCCGAACCTTGGCGGCGGACGGAGGCCGCCCTCCGCGCGCCGCCCCGACCGCCGCGCAGCGCCCTCTGGCGCCGGGGAGCAGGACCCGGGCCGGCCCGCCTACTGGCCCGCCGGCAACGCTGGCTTCCCGCGGCCGCGGCCCCGGCCCCGGCCCCGGCCCCGCGCGGGCTCCCAGGCCGGGGTGGGATTCGGAGATGCAGGGGGCGGAGCCGAGCGGACGGGGGAGTCTCCGAGAAACTCGCGGCCTTCGGCGGCTTCCCGGCCCGGGAAGTGAGCCGGGGTCGGGAGGCCGCAAACAGGAAGTTGGGCTGTAACAAAGAGCGCGGGGGGGCAGGGAGCTGCGGAGCCGCGGACCTACCACCGGGGCGCCGGCGGCGGCCGCAGGTGGAGGGCTGACCCGGGGCAGCGCGCCGCACCTGCCTCTTCCGCCGCTGCTCGGGGCTCCTGTCCCGCCGAGATCCGGCGGAGCCACGGGGCAGGGCCGTGCGCCCTGGGCGCGAGGGAGGGTGCGGCTGCCCGGGGAAGGCCGCTGGGACCTCCCAGACGCATCCTCTCCCCGGGAAGGGACAGTCACAGTTCCCTGAGTGAATCATTTCCATCCCCTTCCCGGAATGCAGCTGGCCACGTGGGACGGAGGGTTGACTCTGCTGATCGTGCGGACCCACGGGGAAAAGCTGGGAGAGCTGCATGGCGGGCAGAGCCCTCGGGGCTTGTCAGAGGTGGAGTGTCAGTTCTACCTGAGTTTAGTCTAGTGGCCTTATCTGCCTGGGATGGGGGAGGTAGGAGCCACCGTCCCTTTTTTTCTGAACCTGACCAGTCTGACCTTGGCTCTAAGGCAGGAGCATGAACCCTGGCTGAATAAGCAGGATAAAGGCCTTTCTCCCTTCTTCATATCCTCTCCCTGACTCATCTCCCTGCAGAGATATCCAGGTGGTTACTGGCCACTGGACCCTGGAAAAGCAGCTGTCCTCAGAACTGGAGGTCACATGAGGTAAAACTTATCCTTTAGGCGGGGCACTGCATCCAGGCACTTAAGGAACTGCTAACCTCTGAATTCTCTTCTGAAGTACTCGGCAGATTAAATTTGGATGTTCACTAAATCGTGGACAGGACTTCATAGTGAATCTAGAGCGATCATCTGCCCTTGTTTCTGCCAAGTCTGGGACTGCTATACACTTGGCCACTCCAGCAGGAAAGTTTTGGGTTCCTGACCTGTGAGAAGGGGCTGAACCCTCAGGGAGTGACCGCCAGGAAATCCTGGGAAGAGAAGGGCTTCCACTGTGGCCTGTTCACACTCCAAGTGCCCGGCCCAACTTCTGTCATGTCACTAGAGGTGGAGCCTGGCACGAGGCACAGTTTGGAGTTGCCCAGACCAAGTCCATGCATGGATCTCTTCTTTCCCCAGAAAACCTGCACGGTGGACTCTCTCAGCTCCCTGTCTAGGATATTAGAGCCTACAAGTGGGATAAGCCAGCCAGCTCCTGTCCAGGGCCCTTCTTGCAGGGCCTGGCCACCCACGCAGTCTAGCACGGCTTGGTGGTGTGGACGTGCAGGCTCGCGGGTGTCCTACCTGTCCCCCACATGGGAGCCTCGTCATCTTGCCTTCGTGTCCCAGCCCAGTTTCCCCCGCCCCCAGGGCCCGGGAGCTGCTTTCCTGTTTCATTTTGGGCAGGAAGAGTGAGGTCGTGTTGTTCTTCCCCCTGCTGCCGGCTTGGGCTGTGGGAACAGTTCCCTGAATGTTTTCCTGTTTGATACCCTGTGTGTGCAGCAAGAGGAGCAAGGAACGATGACCAGGGCGAGGAGCGTGTGCATGCGGGTGCGTGTGGGTGAACCTGGGACTCCTGCTCCTGTGTCTGGCATAAGCACCCAGATCAGGGGCAGGTGTGCTGTTTGTATGTGTTGGGAGAAGGAGGAAGAGAGAGGGCAAGTGGCATTGCATATCCTTGGATTCCACCATAAGCATCAAGGGGTCTATTTGCTTTACTGTGGACAGGCTGAGAGCTGGGAGAGTCTGGTCAGCTTTTTTGTCAATGGCTCATTTTTTCATCATTTGCTGTCCATGGGGGATGTCTGTGGCTGCTGAAAGAGGACTATGGCACCTTAGGGACCATCCTGTGCCTTAGAGGAAGCTGGGCATTAAGTAGAGACTGGGAACTCCCTCATTAGTGTCTCAGCCAGAGAAACCTGGACTCAGGGAAGGCTATCTCCTCCACCCCCAACCTCCCTGCAGTCCAATAAGCTCCTGCAGCTTTGGGCAGACCAGATGTCGGACTCAGTTCTCTTGTCCAGCTGCAGGGAGGACAGATCCAAGGTGATGCACTCACAGCCCCACAAGACCAGTGCCCTGCTGGGGCTGAGGAAAGAGTAGGGTACCAGTCCATCTAAAACCCTACAATGGCAGGACGTCTTGTCATTATCTCTGACATGAGAATCTTTTTGAAAAGAGGAAAACAGGCCAGATTATGTCCTTCCCCAAAAGTCCTGTAACCCCCAGGCTGACCAGGGAACTCATAAACTTTTTCAGGCTTGAGGAGAGAAAAGGGTAATATTGCCCAGGGAATGGTGGGAAAGGCAGCTGTAGCCAGTCTCAAGCCACGAGGCAAGGAAGGCTGGCCAAGGCTGGGGGCTGGATGGGGGACCAGGTCTGCCAAGCACTGCAAGGGGGTAGGGCCTGGAGCATAGCAGACCAAATCTGCATGCACGTACAGGTGCCAGTGGGGCAGCGGGCAGCAGCATGAGAAGGGGAGCCGGGCAGAGGGGGAGAGGATTCCCACTCTGCCATCACAAAGACAGGACCCATGAAGTAGTAAACTCCTGTACACATCTGTTCCACATTATAAATACACATTATATACAAAATAATGTTATAAAATGTAGAAAGGTCAGTGCTTCTGATTCTTAAATTATCGAAATAC